CTCGAACAATATAAAGTAATTTGTATTTTTACTAATTAATTTGAAATGTTTTAAATTGATTTAAAATTGTGTATTTAAAATGTTTGAAAATAATTTTTGAAGGGGATGGCTTTCCATACGCAGTTGTCCTGCTTCTAAACTAGAATGTATATATATATATATATATATATCTTAATTCACGGTATAATCACAGGGACCTGCTTGAGGCATAGTTTGTAAAACGTTAAGAGCAGTTCAGCCACCTATCGAGTTGCTGAAGTATAGCATATGTAGCATACAAAGTATAGGCACGTGATCGTATAGGCACAGGTTCGTGAACAGTTAGATACACGTGTGCAAGGCGCGGGGATGCACTGTCGTAATTCTCTTGTTATTTCATTCTGTGGTACAACGTTCCATTTGGCATTTAAGCGTCTATGTTTTCTCTGGCGATAGCGAGGGTTTATATTCATAACTGCGAAGTCAGTGACCATAATGTGATCAAAGTAGTCCACTGATCTGCTAAGGGAAGTGTCGATAACTTCTTGAGTTGACCGAAGATCTATGATACGATGGCGTTCGCTGCGTACGTTGTTCTTATCTATGTCTTATATATGAATATGATTGTCATTATGCTTTGTAGTTATTAAAGAATTCACCATGCAGGTGTCTCTCGAGCTATCCGGGTCAGAGTCACTATAGCCGGTTCCTATATATATATATATAATTATATATATTATATTTATTATATTATATTATATTTATTATATATATTATATTTATTATATATATATATATTATATTAACACCAGGTTCAGAATCGCGACGCATAATTTATACATTATAATGAGTATCCAGCTACTATAAAATGCAACTAAGTACTAATTAATTTTATATCACAAAGATGATCCCTTTCGGATTTCCTGTCATTGATTCTTGGGCATGAACACGAAGAGCGTACATAGCGTATAGTGCATACGAATGAGTTGCTCTGGAAAGAAATCAGACTCAACAGACTTATGAAGAGAAGAATACGAACTATATCTACGGTAGTGTTGAGGATAACATTAATCATTATAAATGCAATTATATATATATATATATACATTATAGATTAGAAATGCAAGCAATTAGTAACGCAGTGTAGTGCCCGCATAGCAACACGGGTCATTTAACTGAAATAGCCCGAGGCAAGCAATTCAAGGTTTGAACCAGCGTCCATTAGAATGCGCAAAAAGTAAAAGTCCAACGGTCAAAGAGTGAAATTAAGGCCTTTAGCACATTTCGGCCACATAGAACCATCTGTCTTAAGGACAACCCGCAGCTAGCCGCTGTATGCTGCATGACCACTCAGGAAAGTGTTCGTCATTTATCACACACTGAGAAGGACGTTATAATATCGTGTGTCGCACCGGTCAACCCGAGGACATTTTGATAAGGATCGACATCGCTAATGGCCGCCACCGGAGAACAACCGAAAGTTGCCACGTCTCACGTGTGCTCATCGATAATTAGCAAGCACAAGTTACAATTACCAATGCATATCTTACGACCGTGTGAGTCCGGTAGCAGCAGTAGCAGCAGCTATCCAAATATGTTTCACAAAGACCAAAACAGACCGTTTTCAGAACCGCATATTACCTGGCATAGTTATATCATATTATATTTATTATATTATATTATATTTATTAATAATATACGTTGTTCTTTTTATAGCGCGCGCTACATGTCCATTAGTTTTCAGTGCCGGAAAATCGGTAATATAATTATAGTTTAATAATTATATAATCATATAATTATAGTTCACATCGTGAATCCAATTTTGACGAAACGCCAGTTTACGCGATGGGTTGGAGGTTCAAACATCGGTGTCTAACTCCAACGACGCGTTGTCTGTAAACCTGCGGTATCGGTAACTGCATATGTAACTCCAGTACTGCACTGTCCAAACATGCAATGTTGGTGCCACGTTTTGAATTGGATAAATTTGCGCCTTCCTAATTGCGCTTTGGCGCTCGCTGAAAATGAGTTACAGTACTTCCGTAATGTTGCTCTCGCTTTCTAACAGCGAGATGAAAACGACGTACGTGTCCTAGTTTACATGAATTGATAATGCTGCTGCAACAGTGGAAACGATGTAAATACGCAAGAGCATTTCGAGCGTCACCAGTCTGGGACCTTTAGCCTTTCACAATAACGTCAGCGCTGGATTTTAACGACGTGTGGCACTCACCTCGGGCTAAAACACGGAAATGTGACATTCGCGTCATTAGTCCACGATTGAAACAGATAGACGGCGGTTCAACAACCGTCATGACTCTCTGATAGTTCGTGCTGACTAGTCTGTGTGTGCGCGCGCGTATAACAGTCTAGTGACTGACTAGCGAGCGTGTGTATAGCGGGTATAATAGCAACGGACTGTGAGACATTATTTTGTTTCTCCCGAATGTCAGTGTGCATATACGATGGCGCCACAGCGACAGAGAAAGGTATACGTCCTCACCTTGTTCGTCTCATGCGTCATATTCAGTTTCTTTTACTCTCGTCTGCATAGGACGCCAGTGACAATTGATACCAGCACACAGCAACAGCAGCAGCAACAACAACAACAACGCCATCAGCAGCAGCAACAACAACAACAGAAACAACAGCAGCAACAACAACAACAACACCAACAACAGCAGCAGCAGCAACAACAACACCAACAACAACAACAACAACAACAGCAGCAACAACAACAACAACAACGAGAAGTGTTGCCGACAAGCGATGACAGGCTGTTGACGGCCGACCAGCTACCAGCTACTGATGACAAGCACACGCTGGCCAGCCAGGTGCCACCAAACTATAAAATCATCACATTCGGAACGAAGTGGTTCGGCCGTAGCTGGAACATCGCAAACGGTACTGCCGCTGTTCGTGGCTGCCGTTATTCAAACTGCTACTTTTTCGGACACGAGCATTTTGCGAACAAGTGGCTGCGACGCAGAGCCGACGCCGTCTTATTTCATATACGGGACAAACCTAAGACGATGCCGCTTCCCATTCCGGACTACCATCCACCCCACCAGCGATGGGTGTTCAAAATGCGAGAGAGCCCTGTACACACTTACAGAAATCTCTCGGATTACAATGGCATCTTTAACTGGACAATGACGTATCGCAGCGATTCGGACATCTACAATCCACGCGGTATTTTCGTGCCGTACAAGAACGTCACGCGGCAGGATACATTAGACAACGTACATCCAGGTAATATGGCATAAATATCACAGCATGCGGCACTGTTAGACATGTACCCCGTCCTCTTACTGCTGGAAAGCGTCCAGCGTATTAGACGCTGAATTTGACGTTAAAATGATTGCCAAGTAACCCTTCTGATCAGTAGGTGACGCAACATATGCCAGAGAGCATGTACCATAGAGACGCAACATACCAAGAGCGACATCCTTCCCCTAAGATATGCTATTGTAGGCGTGTTATTCGCACTACCGCAGTAGAAGGTCTGTAATAGACTATAAAGATAATACAAGACAAGCAGTAACGTTCACTAGTGTTTACTCAATCTCTAATACAATACATCACGTCTCAGTGCACTACCGAAAGAAAGAGGGTTTACTACAAAGTAACCCGTAGCACGCACTTACACCTTTTCTCCGCGGGTGTCGCTTGCACAAGACTCTCGAGGAGAGGCTGCCCTCGCTAGTTATACGTTGCGGCTCAGATCCACGATCGCGTTTCTTCTTCTACGTCACCAGCCTCGTTTTAGCTCCCTTTCTGGCCAACCGGCCGTACCAAATAAGGTGGGGTGAGGATTGTATCTACTACATTTACACTACCGACTATAGTGGGGTGCGCATTTCCCTTTGGCTCGGATCCATAGTCCGATTCTGGCCCTGATGTCATATGGTCATCTGGTCGGTGTCTAGCGCTGCTTGTCACAATCCGCAAGAATTCGTAGCTTCGTGACTACTGCTTCTAGCTAAACGGCGCCATCTCGAGTCACGGCTCTCTTGATCTCCGTGCCGATCGCTGACTCTCCCGTCTCTATTTTGACATCTCTCCGATTGCGTTTCCGCATCGCCATCACTTTCCCTGGCGTGTGGGATTCGCCCGCTTATACTATACTAGTACGTCGTAAGGCGTTATAGTAATGTGTGCTGACGGTGTTTCACACGGGAATTGGCGTACTTGCGTTTTTTACAAAGAATGCAAATTTAAGCATTTTAGGGAAATTGCTGCTTCGTGTTTCTGGTGCAGCGTTATTGGTCGTTACCACTTATCTATATGTAATCATAGACTAATATAACTATAGACTATAAGAATAACAAGACACGACGCGTCGGTGATTTTTGCCTTACCGGGCCTTGCCTCGTGTTAGGTGCGTTCACCTACTGGAACTAACTGGAACAATGGAAGTTGCTCCGATATCAGTGATTATTTATTAATTATAAAAGTTTTATTGTCAGCGATTTTTAGAAAACCTGAACAAAACTTAAGAACTATAGCTTGGGATTATATAATTTTAATAAAAAAGAGGAAAGTCTGGTTTTTGTGATTTTGTTAATTTATACTATTTCCCCAAAATGTAAACATGTACAATTGTACATGCAATATACAGGTACTGCATCAGTTATAGTAATAAGGTGATATATATATATGCATAGTATATATGTATGTATATATATATACACACATCAAGAGAGTTAATAATACCTTATTATATTAGCTCTTGATACACACCACACACACACACGCACACACACACACACGCACACACACGTACACGCTGGTATGCACGTACGCACACACGCACGCACGCACACGCGCGCACACATACATACATACATACATACATACATACATACGTACGTACCAATACAGTACCCATACCGATACATACTACAGAAATACAATACAGTACATAGCATACCATACAACATACATACATAATACATACATACAGTAACATACATACATAGCGATGCATAGATAGAATAAAAGCATGCCTGCCCATCAGTGGCATGGCATGCATACCATACATACATACATACGAATACATACAGTACATTACAAGCCTACCTAGAAAAAAGAAAAAAAAAAAAAAAAAACATTAATCATACAGGGACTGCATAAAGAATTGCCACTTTTTCTTATTTTTTTCTTTTTTTAAATCAAAACGCCCTTTCAACTAAGAATCAGAATTCAATGAAACGAGATTTCAAATAAAAAAAATTCAAAACAAATAATTTAATTAAATGAAATTTGTCAATAAAATAAAATGAAAATGAAATAAATTAAAACAGGGAAAAAATTGAAGTGTTTTTCAAGGTGGTATTTGTTGCCCGATAGCCCACAAGTACTGACCGTGGGCTAAAAGGGACCTGGGCATAAGAGAATTGAACCTTTTTATCTTTTTTTTTTTTTTTCCAAATAAAAGACTTTGCACTAAGATCAAATCAAATGCAAAATAATTTCAATAAAATAAACTTCAAGATAAAATAAATTTATAACTGAATTTCAATAAAATAAAATGAAACTGAAAAATAAATTAAAAACGTTGTTTCACCAGTGGCGTACACCGCACGTTAACGCCGGGTACACGCCCAGCGTACCACGCCAGATACCACGCACGTACACGGCGGGTACACGGAGAAACAAGACGCACGTACACGGCAGGTACACGCACGTACACGCGCGTACACGCCGGTAGACGCACGTACAGGCGCAAGATAACCGCGCCAGTAAGCAGATACACCGTACGTACACGTACAAACCAGATACACGCACGTACCCGGCGGGTGTCGTAGCACCCGGAGCATACAGCCGTACCCCGGTAATCGCACGTCCCGCAGGTAACACGCCACGTACACGTACACGCAAGATACAACAACACGTACACGGCGGGTTAACGGGAGATACACGCAACGTTACACCCGCCCGTACAGGGCGGTAAACCCCGCCACCGCCCACACGCAGATAAAGCACGTAACGCAGATACCGCAGCGTACAGTAAACGAAGATACCACGCATGTACACGGGCGGTACACGGAGATACTACGCACGTAGCACGGCGGGTACACCACGTACACGCGGGTACACGCGGTACACGCACGTACAACGCAGATACAGCACGTACACACAGATACACTGCACGAGCACGTAAGCACGGCAGATACACGCACGTACAGCGCGGGTACAGCGGAGATACACGCACGTACACGCGGTACCCGCACGTACTGCAGGTAGTAACAGCACGTACACCACAGATACGCACGTACACGCCGGGGTACAGCCAGGTACACGCCACGTACACGCGGGTCACGCAGTACCACCACGCACACGCAGATACACGCACGTACACCAGATACACCGCACGTAGCACGTAGCACGAAACTACAGCGCATGTACAGCGCGGGTAACGGGGGAGATTCACCACGTACACCCGCAAGTACACGCACGTACAGCGTGGGGTACACGCGGTACACGCACGTAACACGCAGATACACGCACAGTAACACCCAGATACACGCACGTACACGTACACGCAGATACACTGCACGTGACACGCGCGTAACGGAGATACACCGCACGTACACGCAGGATACACGCACAGTACACGCGGTAACACGCAGCTGTACACACAGACTACACGCACGGTACAGAGTACAGCGCAGATACCCACGTACACGTACACGCGATAGCACCAGCGTACACGTAGACGTACACCAGATACAGCGGCAGCGTACACGCGGGTAGCGACGAGATAACACGCACGTACATGCGGGTACACGGAGATACACGCACGTGTATCTGCGTGTACGTGCGTGTATCTGCGTGTACGTGCGTGTACTCCGCGTGTACGTGCGTGTACCTGCGTGTTACGTGCGTGTAATCATCCGTGTACACGCGTGTACGTGCGGTATCTGCGTGTACGTGCGTGTACCCGCGTGTACGTGCGTGTACGCCCTTTTGTGGCGTGCTTGCCTGAGGCAGGCCATTGTTTACAAAATTGCTAGGCTTAGCCTCGTTTTCGTGCGAAGTGACCCCAGTCATGAAATACATATTTAAGACTGGTCTATAGGCTCTCCGACTGTTAGATCAATTTCCTTATATTAGGCGGTCCTAGCCCCTGGAAGGTACATACGTGGGCTAATGGCAGCATAGGCTTACGTGAAAAACATTTCATTTTTGTTTTAATATTATTTTCATTTTCATTTTATTTTATTTGAAATTCATTAAATAAATTATTGTTTTTGAATTTATTTAATTTGAAATTCATTTTCATTTGATTTGATTCTTAGTCTGAAGAGTTGTTTTGATTTGAACCAAAGAAAAAAAAAGAAAAAAAAAGTGCGCAATTTTCTTAGGCAGTCTTAGGTCACGGTAAGTAAGTTGTGGGCTATGGCAGCAAAGCCACTGTGAAAAACATTTTTCATTGTTTAATTTATTTTCATTTTCATTTTATTTTATTGAAATTCATTAATAATTATTTGTTTTATTTTATTTGAAATTTATTTTGATTTGATTTGATTCTTAGCTGAAAGTCGTTTTGATTTAAAAAAAAGAAAAAAAAGGAAAAAAGTGCCATTTTCCTTATGGCAGTCCTAAGCCACCATATACATACATACATACATCAAGCTGACTTTTCTTAGGGGGTTTTGCAAATATTGATTTCTCACGTTACCGAAATTGTTCGACGCTGTGATTGTTTCAGTCGTAAACCTTCATTCGAAAAGGTTTTAGTATAGATCTACTAGCGAAGTGACGATGCATAGAATAAGCCTTCACATTTTTGTCCGCTCGCTGCTAATCAGAAATATCATGCGCTCCGTTTTCGATATGAGCGAAATTTCTAGTATACATTTTGCATTCTGCAGACAAGGATTACGCACAAGGAAAGACGGGGCTGGTTAGCTGGTTTGTGAGCCACTGTGTTACGGACAACAAGCGAGAGCATTATGTTGGCAAGTTGCACAAATTTGTCTCCGTGGACATTTATGGACGATGCAGGTTGGTGTATTCTGGCTACATATTAATAATGATAATAAGCGTTAAACGCACGCATGCCATAAGTGAATAGATATTAAAAATCGAAAAAGGAGGCTTATTCGGTTAAGAGACGCGGCATACGGTGCTTGTGATGCTTGTATTGTGATGTATTGATTGTGATGTATCCTTGTATGGTATTGTGATGCATAGTATAATCTTACTTGGCTACTCTGCATCAGATGTCGCGCATTAATTTCTCTCTCTCTCTCTCTCTCTCTCTCTCTCTCTATCTCTGTCTGTCTCTCTCTCTCTCTCTCTCTCTCTCTCT